AGTTATCTGATGTTTTTCTCATGATTAGAGGAGGGTAATGTATTTTGGGGAAGAAGACCACAGAGGAAAAGTACCATTCTCATCACATCATACCAAGGGTAAAGACTATCAATATGGCTTATCATTGTTGATATTAACTTTGATCAGCTGGCTTGAAGTAGCGTTTGTCGGGGTTCCCCACGATAAAGTTACTCTTTTTTTCCCCTACTATAGTCACTGGGAGAAAGTCAGTATGCACAGCTCACACTTAAGGAATACTGAGTTATGCCCCATCTCCTTGGACACAAAGTAACTACATAAATTATTTGGAATTCTTCTGCATGGGAAATTTGCCCTTTCTCCCTCATTAATGTATTTATTCAATCATTCATTTATGCCAGTATGGACTCGTGGATATTTATTTTATACTTTGGGCTACAATACAATACTACTTTATTTTATTGCTCAAATTTTTCCAGCTTTGGCCATTGGGAGCTCTTTCAGTTGGCTCCATCACTGTTTTTTTGTTTTGTTTTTTTGACACTTTTGTATTTTCTGGCACTACGAGATGCTTCAGGCTCATCTTGTATATCTCCTTCCCCAGTCTGAGAATCGCCATTTCTCCAAGAAACTCTAGGAGAAGGGTATCGGAAACCAAAATCTGGGCATTAGGTGTGGTTGTTCTTACAAGGTATTGCTTCTAGGCCCTCTCAGCTGATGGTCCATACTGATATGGGCTGCACATAGGGACTTTCTTCCAAAGAACAATTAAATATATGTGTACAGACTAACCCATGTATATATACATATCTATAAATATTTCTATATGTAACCATCTATATCTGTATTAAGCTGAGGATGACTTCATACTGATGTTTCCAATTCTAGTCCATTACCATATGGATCATTCTAGTCTCTTCCCCTTGTTTATCTTTAGCCTTCTACTCCAACAGCAAGAAACCTGGCTCCCACCATCCACCATTCATTTACTTAATTGTTCAATTCCAGTATATCTGTATAGTGGTTTCTGAATTATTAGCTGTACCGCCATGGGAAACCACTTTATCAACTAGAGTACAGTGCTTACGTACAATTCCTGTAACATTTTAGTGTTACAAACTCCACTCATTTCCAAAGTTACTTAGATCAGCACCTTATTCTCACAGCCCCTTCAGTAAAGTTGTTTCATACATTTGTAGTACAATATTGCTTTGTCATATTTTGTATTCCATCCTGGGATCCCCTGATGTCCTAAATAATTTTTTTCATTTATATGTATTAAGGTTTACTTTTTGTTCTGTAAAGTGCTATAGGTTTTTGACAAAAACTTAATGTCTTATATTCACCATTACAGTGTCATACAGAACAGGTTCACTGACCTAAAAAAATCCCTGTGCTTCACCCACTCAACCCTCTCCAATCCTCTGACCACCACTGATCTGTTTACTGTCTTAATTTTGCTTTTCTGTGATATCATATAATTGAAATCCTACAGTATATGACTTTTTCAGACTGGCTTCTTTCACTTAGGAATATGGAGCTAAGATTCATCCATGTCTTTTTGTGGCTTGAAACCTCATTTCTTTTTATTGCTAAATAATATTCCATTGTATAGATGTACCACAGTTTGTTTATCCATTCACCTACTGAAGGACATCTTGATTCCTTCCAGTTTTTGCCAATTATAAATAAAGCTGCTATAAACATTCATGTGCAGGTTTTTGTGTGGACATAAATTTGCAAATCAGTTAGGTAAATACCTAGGAGCACGATTGCTAGACCATATAGTAAGACTATGTTTAGTTTTGTAAGAAACTGCTGCCCCTCTTTGTCTTTAACAAAGTTCCCTATTTGTTTCCTTCAAAGCACAAATGGTTTGTTTCCCTGGTGACTGTTTCCCTCAGTAGACTATAAGCTTCATGAAGGCAAGGGTCATACATGCTTTAATCACTGATGTAGACCCAGCATTTAGCCTAAAAGACCTTACACATAGTAGGACCTTAATAAATATTTGATTAATGAATGAATAAATGAAAAATTTAATGAATAAATAAAACATCAAGACTTAAAAATTCATGCTTGAGCCATATCCCTGTCTTAGGAATTCCAAAATGCAACTCGTCCTTTATTTTAATCTTGGCAGACAACTGGAATTGATACCAATATTCCATAATAGCTTAAAGTTCTGTACCACTCTAATCTCCATTCTCCCAGTGCAGGATGCTTCTTTTTCGCATGTTTATGAATTTTACATACAGTAGTCCCCCCATCCGTGGTTTTGCTTTCCGCAGTTTCAGTTACCCATGGTCAACCGTGATCCAAAAATATGAAATAGCAAATTCCAGAAATAAACAATTCATAAGTTTTAAATTGCATGCCGTGCTGAGTAGGGGGATGAAATCTTGCCCTGTCCCCCACCACCACATATGAATCATCCCTTTGTCCAGCATATCCACACTGTATACGCTACCTGCCTATTAGTCACTTAGTAGCCATCTAGATTATCAGATCGACTGTGGCGGTATCGCAGTGCTTGTTGTCAAGTCACCCTTATTTTACTTAATAATGGCCCCAAAGTGCAAAAGTAGTGATGCTGGCAATTCAGATATGCCAAGGAGAAGCTGTAAAGTGCTTCCTTTAAGTGAAAAGGTCAAAGTTCTCGATTTAATAAGGAAAGGAAAAAAAATTGTATGCTGAGGTTGCTAAGATCTACAGTAACTTTTATTACAGTATATTGTTATAATTGTTCTATTTTATTATTAGTTATTGTTTTAGTCTCTTAGTGTGCCTAATTTATAAATTAAACTTTATCATAGGTATGTATGTATAGGAAAAAACGTAGTATCTATAGGGTTCAGTACTGTCTGCAGTTTCAGGCATCCACTGGGGGTCTTGGACCATATCCCCCATGGATAAGGGGGGCTACTGTATTTGCTGTTAAAACTAATTCAGGACCAAATGATCAAGACTTCCACCAAGTTTCTTCTGTCTTGCACAATATGGGGTATTCAATGTATGTGGAGAATAAATAAAGTGTATAAAAAGTATTGTGTTGTATACCTTAATATATTCCTGACTTAACACATTTTAAATGATCAGTCATTTCATATTTTATTCAGTAATCCCCCTTGGACCATTTTGATTTTATAGCAGTGTAAAAATGTCTCTTTATGGCTTTACAAAATTTTAATCAAATAACTTTTCTTCAGAATTTAAGACATTTGTCCTTGGGGCTAAAATTAACCAAGAAAAAGATTAAAAACAAAAGCAAATTTAGAATATAGTTAGTACTTTCAAAAGGAGCTGAATCTGCCATTCATCTTCACTTATAATACTTGCTGCTGCTTAGCCTATAATAGAATAGCAGTAGTTGTGAAAAGGATATATTTATATTTCTGAGATAAACCTCACAAGCTTTGCTCTTTTGTGGTTGGCAATGTCACGGGGCACCTTGGTTGGAATGATTCACATAATGATCATACTCTGAATAGGAAATAAATTCAAAGTTCTGTACATTTTTAGGGCCGGCTCCATGGCCTAGTGGTTAAGTTCGGCACACTTTGCTTTGGCGGGCCAGATTCAGTTCCCAGGCATGGACCTATGCCACTCATCGGTGGCCATGCTGTGGCAGTGACCCACATACAAAATAGAGGAAGATTGGCAACAGATGTTAGCTCAGGGCGAATCTTCATCAGCAAAAAAAAAAATTCTGTATGTTTTCACCAGATGTCATATTTCTGCATTTTTTCAGTGATTAAATAATTTTTTTTCTACTCTGGTGAGTGGCTCTGTTTGGATACCAGCTTTCAAACACTACTTATTTTCAGAGAGGACCCCCAGCAGTGCTTGAAGACTCCCCTATCTACAAGAGGTGCCTCGAAATTCACAGAATTAGCCAAGGGACTTCCAAAGTTAACTGAAGTGTCAACATACTTGAGAGCTACTAAAAATGCAGAGACTGTGGTTTGTTGGAATGAACCAGACAAGGCATCCAACTGGAAGTACTTCTGAGACATTTTAGCTGAAGCTAAAATGCTTAAGCTTAAGCATTGTTTTGATAATTTGGAAAGCCCTGGAAGGCAATATAACTAATATTTATTAGGATCTTACTTGAGTTATTCCTTACATCTCAACTTGGAGCCAATAATTCAATTGATTTTGAAATAGATTTCCAGAATTTGGACAAGATATCTGACAGTTAATATCCAGAGGGACATATTTCATAACAAGCCCTGAGATTTTTCCACATCCCCACTTACGCTTTCTGTCTCACACTCACTGAGCTCCTTGCAGTTCTCTGATAATCCTTGAGATTAAATGCTTCTTTCCTTGTGCATCTCTCTCCTCCATGCAGTGCTTCTTTCCTTTCCCCACATTCTAAACCAGCCCAGAGGAACCCTGCTTTACTGAGATCTTTCCAGAAACACAATACCCCTTCCCCCACCACAGACACTGATAATATCTCCTTTCTTTGAGCTGATTACTTATTTCTATGGTTTCAGTTACCATACTAAACTGAAATTAATCTTTTCCTGTGGGCCTATCGTAGAGCTTGGTTTATAGTAAATACTCAAGAAATGTCTTTTGGTCCCTCAACACCTGCCTCCATCAATAGACAATACAAGGTGGGGAGCAGAGGAGGATTTGCTTGACCTTCTTCCTGCTCTGAGGGAATTTTTCAACTCCTGTTTGGAAAAACTAGACAAGAAACAAACTGAAATTCTCTGGAGCACCTCTTTGCTGTACAAAGAACACAAAATATCTACAATTTAATCCAATACTCATATTTTTTTCAAGAGCAGGTAGTTAGACATAATTTTCGGAGTACTACATAGAGAATACACTCATAGTTTCAGCTGGTAACTGACATTTAGCCCTTTTGCCAGTGACATTTATGCAGGAAAATATGCAGAGTTAAGGTCTATGAAGTCTCTCAGGGTCTACAATACCCTCTTTCTTCTAGTAGCATTCTGGTCTATTTATAGTGACATATCCAGGTGCAAATTACAAAGAAATCTTACTGGTTACACTCAGGCCAATGCTGTCCTGCTTTATAAGAAAATCGGCTGCACATGGACTCATCCAGTTGTTTTCTCCGGTCACTGCCCAAATATGTTGTTACAGAAGAATCTGACCATCTTGTTTCATTCTGCCAAGATGCTCCAGCCTTGCGTCTGATCACATTAAACTCTTGAGAAGTAAGAGGGCTAAAGGGCAGAAGAATTTGTGGAGTCAAGTAGAAGTGTGACATCGCTATGGATGGCCTGCTCTGAGTGACAAGTTTTCAAGCCCTCTGCATAATGAAGAATTAATTTCCTTCTAGTAGCAAGAAGTAATTGACTGGGCTCACCAAACTCTAACTCTGACAGTTGGCAGAATGCAGAAGCTTAACTCTCTTCAAGTTGCCAAGCAACGGATCGCAAAATTCCACAAATACTACCCTCCCCCCAAACCCAAATTGTAACCAGCAAATTTGTAAGTTATATAACTTTCTGGCCTTTGCTCTAAGCAATATACTGCTACAAATTATGGCAAGAAAGCAGGTGGCAACTGCTTTAATAAATAAAGCAGTGAATCCTAATGACGGTGGTTTAAGAGGTGGGAACAGAGATAAAAGGACGATGCCAAGCATTCGTTTCCTCTAAAGAACAGCCTCCAAGGGTCTGGAAGCAAACATGAACTGCTCGTGATGTCAACAATAGCAGGTGGCTCAAAGAGCTTCTCAGATGTCATAGAGCAATGGTGCTTAAGCTGGCTGCACACAACAGTCACCCCACAGGCTGGTAAAAGAAGCAGAAGCTCAGGCCTCACCTCCCCCTGCCCCGCCCCCGTAGATTCTGATGTAATTGGTGTGGAATGGGGCTCAGGCATCAGTATTTTTTAAAAGCTTACTCCTGGAGGATTCCAAAGTGCAGCCAGGGTTAAGAATTAATGTCATTGAAGTGCCACCGGCGAACCCTTTTTAGATTGAGAAGTCACAGCATTCAGTCTATTCACATGGTCTCCTCCATCCTTAACTAATAATTACTCTAAATCGGGTTGATATGTTTGCCCATTCTTCTCCACGTTAACAAACAATTCACTGGCAAATCGAAATAGATCTTTCAACATTCGTCGTCCTCTCTTTCATCAACTCTTGGAGCAGTAGTTCTCAGCTCTCGGTGCTCATTCACATAACCTGTGGAATTCTTTATGAATACAGATGTCATGCCTACCTTAGAGGTATCCACGAACAACTCTATGAGTGGATCCAGCATCTGCATTAACAAAAAGAATCTCCATAGGTGATTGGATCAGCACCTAGGAGGCACATTAATCATGCAGAGCCCGCAGGCCTACTTTCATAGACTGTAGGTCTGAGGAGGAGCCCAGGAATCAGCATATTTATATTGTGATTCTGATGAAATTGATCTTTGAATACTGCTCCAGGAGCTGAATTTAAACAATCTTTTAAAGAGAGGCTGACATACTACAGGGCATATTTCTTTGAGAATGAAATTATTTGCAAATAATTGTTAGTATTTTAAATTAGGAGTTTCTTTCCTTAAAACTTTGAAATTCACAACATAAGCACCTTTGCCCTATAAGGATTAGGCAGGTATTTGCAGGCCCAGCTGTTTTTTTTCATGGAGCTGAAAGTTCCTTGGAGAAATCCAGATGAAATAAGAAGACGGAGATAAAGAGTGAAGGACGGCAATGAAAACTGGGCTGCCCAGCTCTTTTCAACCCACCCAGTGGCAGGCAGCAACTGCTTGTATGCTTCAACCTTTAGCTATTCTAACCAAAATGGTGATTTTAAAGAAATCTCTGCTAGCAATATATATTGTTTTGAGACAGGAAAATAAATAGAACAGATTGCGAAAGACTGTTTGTAGAAAACATTTTTAAATTTCCTTCTCAAATTGTAGGGCAGTCTATAAACAAATATGTAATAAAATTAGCTCTTTTAAAAATAAATTGTAGGGCCGGCCCCGTGGCTTAGTGGTTAAGTGCGCACGCTCCGCTACTGGCGGCCTGGGTTCGGATCCGGGCGCGCACAGACGCACCCCTTCTCCGGCCATGCTGAGGCCGCGTCCCACATGCAGCAACTAGAAGGATGTGCAACTATGGCATACAACTATCTACTGGGGCTTTGGGGGAAAAAAAAAGGAGGAGGATTGGCAATAGATGTTAGCTCAGAGCCGGTCTTCCTCAGCAAAAAGAGGAGGATTAGCACAGATGTTAGCTCAGGGCTGATCTTCCTCACAAAATAAATAAATAAATAAATAAATTGTGGTATAAATGTACTTTATTATCACATTCCTGTCCTTTATATTATTTTTATTTCTTCTCCCAGAATCAATTATGATATCATTTTAACAATTATAACCTCAAGAACCAAGAGTAGCGAAATTTAATAATTTAAGTGAAAATGTCTAATGTTGGGTTTAGATGGAATTACAGCTTAATTAATGTCTATTAGATGTTGAACAAGTCTGTTAAAAATAAGACTTCAAATTAGAGAATAAATAAATAATTTATTATCCTATGTGTTTAATTTATAAAATCCTAGAATTCTAAAGGAGCTCACACTCATTCTTTGTTCTCATTTCATCAGATGCTTCATTTCTCCTGGATGCTGGTTTTCAGGGCTGATTTGTATGGTCTGACTTCCATGTTGAGAGTCTGCACTTAAAACTTCCTTTTGTAACTGAATTATGACAAGCTATGCTGTTCAGTCCCCAGTAAGTTAAATTGTGAAAAAAAACCTAATCAAGAGCACTATGACAATGAACTCTGGGTTGTGAATGTGATTTAGTGAAAATAGAAGCTTCCTGAGAGGCCTCATCCCCAATAAAACCAGCAGGGGGCGTACATATCACCTGGGCACAGGCGCCTTTGGTGGGCAGGCCTTGTCCAGGCTTCTGTCTAAACAGAAGCTGATTATTCTAATGAGGGATTAACAGGTATTAATTCAAAGAGTTTCATGGTTAAGTAAGTTTAGGACAAGTTGGGATAAACATGTTTCTTTGCTGTAGGACTTAGAACCTTTAATATTTCAATGTGCATTGTGAATCTTTCAAAGGGGCCTAGAGAGTGCAGTATTTCCTAAACTTATTTGACCACAAAACTCCTTTTGTGGGGTGGGGAGCATCTCTGGGTATTGCTGTTCTGTGGAACAGTCCAGGAATGAAAAGACTAGAGGTCTGTATAGCTAAGACAATGGCTAGTCTGCAGTCTCTGGAATTTACCAGATCTTGACTAGATCTCCAGCCTAAGCCTGGCAAGAAGGTGAATCAAGCAATATATACATTTTGATTGAGACGTAACATCAAACAGTAAAGCACACAAATATACTTTACATACATACACATCCATGTACATGATGGAGCACGACTGACCAGATGCAGCACTCTTGTCCCTTCCCAGTCAAAACAGCACGTACACACACACAGACACACACACAGGTAACCACTATTTCCATTTCTATCACCATAGACTGAATGTATATCAGGCTGTATTCTGTGAAGGCAGAAACTTACTGATGCCACTCTAAGATGAAACCCAGGAAGAAACCAAGTGATATAAAAGTCAGAAAAAGCAGAATTCCCTTGAGAAAAAAAGATCCCATATGAAACTAAAGCTTCCACCTCAGCAAGAATCTGTCTCCTCCCCATAAGGTGCCAAATTCTGACACTCGGATAAGTGTGGCCAACAGCTGAATGAGCATACATAATGTGTCATAGTTAATAACTGTTTGGGTCTGTCAGTTATAATATTATTAATTCTCAATCCTTGATCTGAGAAGAATTTCTTCATGCTTGCCAGTTGTGTGATTTGGAAATTTTTAGTAACTTATTTATCAAAAACTGTATGGTACATGGTCTAAAGGATGCAGGAAACAAGGAACCAGTTGCAACAGAACTAGATGGAAATAAAAGAAGGGTCAAGTGCACAGGCACAGGAAAAGGAAATTAATAAAATTAGTGAGGAGAAGCCAAAAAGGAAGGATCTTTTTTCTTTTCTTTCCAGAAATTTATTTTTGGTTATGTTTACTATTTGAAAACTGAAATTGATTACAAACAGTGTCTCTGCTGCCATCCCCATTTTGTTTGATAAAAAGTATATGTGTGTGTGTATATGTATAAGAAAAGGCCTAGTGGGCTGTATATAAAAACGTTATAGCTGAGTGGGAGGATTACATGTGATTTTTATATTTTACCTTCCTTTCTTTATCTTCTAAACTTTTTACAGTGAATATATGTAACTCGTAATCAGAGCCGAAATGTTATTTTATAAAAACTAAAACAAATGGAATGCATCCAGCTATAATCAATCTCCCAAATCTTGCAAAGAATCTCTTTGGGTTTACATTTATTTTTCTCTTCCACCTCTCTTTAGAGTCTAGGCCTTAAAAAAACAAACAAAAAACTCTAGGGCAAAGAGATTGGAGTGAATTCAAATATGTTTCTTAAACTTTCCCTGGCTCTAGTTCTGGGTCCGTGATCGGGGAAGGGAGAAAATAAGTCATACGGCTCTTTAGAGGTGTATCTGAGTGTTGGTGGGGAATAGGGAAATAGAAATAGGAAAAGATTAGGTATACAGTGGGCCCCAAAGCAAGGAAATTTGAGTTAATGGTTGCTGTTTTCCAAAGAAACCCTGTCAATTTGTAGGTACCCACAAGGAGGTAATCCACAAATTGTGTCCCACACTCTCAAACAAACAAAAAGACTCATAATAACTGTAACTAAAAAATGAGCCATAATAATGGTCAAGGCTTTTTGGAATTCACAGTGGCACCTCCTGGGATAAAGAGCATATAGTGATGGCTGATTTCTTTGGTCTACCCAAGGAGAGTGTGGGGGAAGTGGACTCACAAGCTGTGCTGGCCCACCCTTTCTACACTATGACATTCAGCCACTGCTGTACAATTCTGCTTGGACAACACTCTTGGTTTTACATAGAACACATTATTAGGATAATCAAAAGTCATTTAGAAGAATATCCTAAAAGGTATTTCAAAGTTTCTATTCTTGCTTAAGTAACCTGAGTCCTAGGAGAGTCTCATGTAGATAATAATAATAATATGACAATAGAAGCAAATATTTATATGTTCTAGGCACTTTTCTAAGTCCTTTATATGCAATAATTCATTTAATCCTCACAACAACCCTATGAGGAAGGTACTGTTATTATCCCCAATTTACAGATGAGGAAATTGATCCACAGAAAGTTTGCCCAACATCACACTGCAAGGAAGAGGTAGACTGGAGTTGAAACTCAGGCAGTGTGACTGCAGAGTCTGGATTCTTTAGACTGCTTAAAACTACATCTGTAACTCGCTGTCTCTCCTTATCTGTTGTCTACAGCCTATCTCTGCCCAGTAACTCCCTCTCACCCTTTGTCTGGTCCCACACCTGCTGACTGTTCCCTTTCTCATTAGTCCAGTCCAAAAG